TAGCAAATCCCAGGATCGACTTTCTATTAAACTTGACATTGACCATAATAATTCACTGCTTTCTTCAACGGTCAAACACGAAGTTGGCATCACAACGTTTATTAGCACACAATAGCTAACGTTTTGGCGGTTTCGCCTTCTTCAGACCCTGGAAAGGTCAAACTGACATGCAATCTACTTGGCCATGTACTTTCATACGCTTAGTCGATAAAACTTAACAAATAAATTTGCATTCGCATAATACACGGGTTCTTTTAAACACCCACTGCTTTATTCGTTGTAAGTCTTCCGGTTAATTGGTGGAGAGCAGCCACACAGAGTATAACATGGGCAAGGAATGTGCCCGGGTCAGGTCATAGAATCGGTCTGAGGTATGGCGCTAGGTCACGCGTGGTCACAAGACACACCTCTTAGCTTTACATTTGTAGCTTTTTGAAATTAATCCAAAACGTTTCAAGAGTTTTACGCGATCATGTTTTGCATTCCTTTGCGAGAATAGTGACTTTTACTTCACTTTTACTTCAAAATCTTCTCGCTGTGTTTCTGTCTTCTGCGCGCCTAGTGGAGTGTTTGGTCTCAATTTAAATTTACCAACAAGGTGTTCTTTTAAACGGACACAGAGTGGTCTACTTTACGCAATCAGCATTTCTGCCTTTAGGGAATATTATGAAATTTCTAGTCGCACGTAGAGGGTCGTATAGGCAGCTATGTTTTCAATCATTGTTACCGAATTCTCTAGACTGACCCTTCTAAAGCAACGTTTTATAGCTATATATTCAGCCTAATTTCTTTCGTTGGAAATTAAGAGCGAGAAAAACGGAAGCTTGTTCTTGCTAGAAGTGTCGTTTATGTTTATGGTTTTCCTCTAATTCTGAAGGGTTACAGCTTGGTAGCCATTTGAAATGGCTATTTGCCGCGCCAGTTTCAAGGATTCTTTCTTCTGCTCTCTTTCTGTGCACACACTAGTAACTCTTCAAAACATTTTTCTTTGCTCTTTTGGTATCTGAGGGGTGAGAGGAGAGGTAATGAATCACAATGTTTTTGACTTTCGGTACCATTTTGTAACGTGCCCGTTTTCGGATAGGTTAATTTAGACGTTCAGAAGTAGAAGCCAATTTTCTGTCAGTCTCTCGTGGATGAATCATATATACTCTGACAGTTCTTTCAATAAGCGGAAGCTCTCCGTATCCTCTTCTGTGAAGTAGATGTTAAAACAATCATCTATCTATCTACAGTGCAGTAATGGCCGGAGATCGATTCTATGACCTGATCCAGGCGCATTCCTTGCCCATGTTATACTCTGTGTGGCTGCTCTCCACCAATTAACCGGAAGACTTACAACGAATAAAACGGTGGGTGTCTAAAAGTAGCTGTTTATTAGGCGAATGCAAATTCATCTGTTAAGTTTTATCTGTTACGGTTATGAAAGTATTTGGCTGAGTAGATCGCACCCCAATTTGGCCATTCCAGGCTCTGAAGAAGGCGAAACAGCTGAAGCGCCAGCTGTTTTGTGCCAGTAAATGCTATAATGCCAACCTCGTGCGGGCCCATTGAAGAAAAGCGGTGTACTGTTGTAATCACTGTTTGCCCTTCTTTTACTTTTAAGATATAATTAGGTTAGTAAAGGCAAAAAAGGATAAAACTCTCGACGTTGATCAGTCTCTAAGGAATGCTCCATGCATTCGACTCCATCAAGCATCGTTGGAGATGACTGAATGTATATCAGACCTTTACAATGATTCACTGTGGCTTGCCGATGTATCGAGCCAGTGCTGCTATCCTTCCAGACATGTCTGGCACCAGTTTGCGGAAACAGGAGTGATGGATGACTTGGTGAGCATGGAGCGTGGGGATCGATTCCATGTGTACTGCAGTGTGCCTCCAACTAATGCGCTACACACGCCTCTATTAGGTCAGTACCAGACTTTAATTGGCGAAGATTTCGACACCTAAGTTTTCTTCAGAGCTGCGAAGGAAAGTAAGCCGAAGCAGTGTTATAAACACTATATGTCATTCTTGTCCTTTGGTGTCCATTTTTGGAATTCAATTTTTTTTAACAACTGCTAAAGTTGAAAGGCTATGGCCATCGAATGACCGAGAAGTGGAATAGAGTTCATTAGTCAACATAATGGTTGGGTGGACAGATTGACGTTGGTTTACGGTTGGGTGGGCAGATTGACACTGGTTCGGCCGGTTTACGAGAACTAGTGGGTCCAACGGACGTCACTGCAGTCGTTGTCGTGGTAGATGCTATTAGGTGGTGCGTCATTTTCATGTGATGAGACTCAAATCTTCTTACGTAGATGTATTATCGCTCTTCTCTTCATTAATTGCCAGTCTGCCACTATTTATGTTCATTGCTTGTCTTTTTAATGATTCAAACCAACCTAGGTAATCCATGCCGTCTACACATAATTAAAGGCTCCCGCTCTTCTGCTACTTGCATGGTCAGGCGCTTCCCAGAGATGGTAATTTCTATGCGCAGTAATTTTTATTCTGTGTTTTAGTCATTTCGTTCATCAGTTTTCGTTTTTATTGGATCGTTTATGTTCATATCCCTCATTGCTTTAATAACGGTAATAAAAATGGCACCCAGAGGAAGCCAAAATGGTTGACCTACTTTGTGTGAATGGCCAGAACAAAAAAACTGCCTAAGTATGGTACGGTAAAACGTGCGCACTTAAAGCAAGAAAGAATTGTGAATATTGTCTTCATATTTTTGTCAAAAAAATTTTCCCACATGTTAACCGTTTTATCCTTCGTGCTATATTAAGTCTTTTGGAGACGAGAAAATATCCGCTTTAGTCGAGTATAACAATGTCTCCAGAAGTATGTAGAAAGAACTACGACAAGTGAGAGGAATGGCGTGAAGAGAATGCGAGCGTCAGCAAATTCCATCGCTAGCATTCTTGATGTTCGAGTCGAAGGCGCTCGGGAACGAAACACTTCAAAAAGACCTACTAGTGCGACCTCAGGAGAAGAATTTCGAAGCGACTCGTCAAGTGAACTGAGCCCTTTGAATACTTCGTATTTTTCGGGGGAGGAATCCTATGCGAAGTACCAATGTAAACTAGCGGCAATGTAACCAGCTATAGAGTGAAGCATTTGGCTAAGGCAAAAGGCGACTTTGTATTCGAAGCAAAAATCTCAAAGCCCTTATTCGTATTCTTGTTGAGCAAACGCGAGGTGTTATTTTTATTCTTTATTCACGAATAAGCTGACATTTCGGCGGATTTCGCCTTCCTCAGAGCCTGAAAGGTCAAGCTGACAGCAACCTATTCGGCCAAACACTAACCAAGCGAAGAAAACGCTAAACCAAGATTTCAATCACATTGAACACAGCTTTGCACACTCACTGCTTTCTATGAGGCTTTCACTGAGTATATCGCGTGAAGACCAACCGCACAGAATTCACATCAAAACATATACATCTTCAAGTACTAAAGAATGCTCGCAGCGCTACAAAGTACAATTTGAAAAAACGGCGCGTTAGCGGAAATGTGAAAGAGAAATTTATTTTTAATTAACAGAATGAGATGACTGATATACATTTCCAATGAGACGACTGATATACAAGTGGTTGAAAAAAAAACAGAATTTGAAATAGACACTTGCCGAAAAGTATTTTGCCTTAGATGGCAGGCTAGTTCGAACTTAATAGATCGCTAGATCTAAGTTGTTTCCTTCAGCCAAAATTTGCTCTTGATTGTAATTAAATTAGTAAACTATTTATGAACTATGAGAACACAACAGCGCCATAAATAAGGCAGGTGGACTTTCTGAAAACGAATCCGGATTTGGACAGTTTTCTCACTCTTGGCTGGAACTGTAGACTGTATATTAAATAGAAAGGTCATAGGTTAACCTCCAAAGGACAATGGTCTCAACCACAGAACAATAGGTTCGTAACGTTATTTCTGCGAGCTTAATATTCCTGCGAAGATTTCATAATCACTGCTCATGGGTTTTCATTTGTTTACGAGAAGGTTATTTGCTAAATACAACCACAACGTTGCTGAGATATTTGCAAAACTCTGGACCGCAGGTGTCTACGGTGGGGAACGAACGCGCTATTATCCTTTCCGGGGAGTAACGCGTTCCCCAGATCCCCAGATCAACCCCGCTGACGGGTGATTGCTGTGGCAAAAAGATCGATAGAAATAGCTGAGAGACGTGCGAAACAAAGGACCCGCATGGTGTGGTGGTGAACGCGTTACTCCCCGGAAAGGATAATAGCGCGTTCGTTCCCCACCGTAGACACCTGCGGTCCAGAGTTTTGCAAATATCTCAGCAACGTTGTGGTTGTATTTCGCTTAGTAACCTGCCATGAAAATTATAGAAGGCAGAAAACAAAACGTTAAACATTGTTATTTGCTAATTTAAAACCATATATGAATCGGAGTCGAGAATCGTACGGACCATCACAATGTAGACTTCCCCGGCACTTTTTTTTTGCACGGACAAGCTTTCTTACTGTAGTCTCAAGACAATCATGCCTAGTGCACATATGTCGCCATCAAATGGAGGTTTGCTTCTTTACGGGCGGATTTCTTGTGACTACGGTAATTTCTAGCAAACGCTCATTCTAAGCTGAGCTCCAAAACAGAAACTTCTGAGATCATGTGACCCTGTTGGTGAGATGGACCACCTGCTCATATCGCATAGCAACCATATGCGGTTTGACGCCTGGGAAGCGCTTGCCTCTACGATGGATCTGTTAAGCAATGCAGGTCGTCAAATTCAAAGATTTTGCAATATCTGATGGCAGCGGATCAACAGGCCTTCGACAGTCGTGCTGTTTGAGCGCCCAGCATAGTGTTAATGGAGAATGTCTGCTGTCCATTCATTGATAGCCTGGCCACAAGATGCAATCTTTCATTTCTTTCATTTCGAAGCGTGTTCTTAACCTTGATAAAAATTGTTGCACGATCTGTGCCAAAGCGTGTGTTTCATAAGTTTTTCCCACTTTCCGTCGCTGCTATGTGAAAACATTCATAGCTTCCCCCTTCCGTGATACTTTATTTTTATTGCAGATGACAACCACTGCCGTGTTCTTCTGTGGGCAACTCGGAGCACTTTCAATCATTCTAAATCTGTTTGTGATCTCGGCTCTTCTCAGGTACTAATTGTTGTTGTTTTTGCCTTGTTATTTTATGTATCTGTTGTAAATGCTTGAACACACTTGAACATTTGAATCGCACGTCCTCACTGGATGTGCGGGCCCCAGCACAACCTCCATTTTACGGAGATTTGCTAGTTAAGCAATTGTGATTCCCTGGAATCCCGAGGCTAGTTTGGCCAAAGTCTGCCCCAGGTCTTCACCACCACAGCCAGCATCCCTTGTGAATCAGAGGGAGATTTGCCACCATGCGACTTTGATACCAGGATGGTGGTGGATCCTGATATTGGTCTACTGTTAGCTAGATATCCTGATGGAAACACCGAGCTCCTTCTCAGCTTGGGAGACTCTGCCAAGAGATGAATTCCGCGCTGTACACCTCAGTCCGATACCCAGGCGCACCTCCCAGCCACGATGAGGCGGTAAACCGTTGGAATGGTTGTAAATGCAAACGAAGAAATTAGCTCTCCTGTGCAGCGAACGAGTTGCACCGATATTCCACTCAGTCTTGCTGCTAAAAACTTGAAATTGTTCTAAAAATGACTGTTAGTGCTGTCCTTTGGTATTGAGTATTATGTACCGAAATCAATGCCATACGCCCCAACTATTTAAACAAGTTTCTCTATACTCCACATAGATTTCACAGCATTTTCATGACTTTGACCGACCAAGTCATATACAATGCGCAAGTCACTGTGTCTTCGCCTTCATAGAAAGATTTTTTAGAAGGAACCGTTATTTAAATTATAACTAGGTTTCTGATGTCAATCCTGCTCTAAAGGTTCAGTCTCTTCCGCGAGAAGAACTGCACCACATGACTTCTACAACGAAAAGCATGGAAGATTTGAGAGAATTTGTTGTGAACTTTCGTCAACTAGCGCCGTCGTTTCTACTGTCGTGTGCTGCCCTTCAACTTCTGAAGTGCCAGCAACGTCAGTCATATACCTAACACCTAACAAAGTTAAATATAACCTAACCTAGCAAACCTAACAACGTTTTTTTTAATAACTCAAAAGACCGACTTTTTATAAACCTTGGCATAGGTAGTTGATATATTTATTTATATGATCTTATAAACTGATCTTCTTTAGCTGATGCGAGGTTGGTATAAGTCTTCGTTGTCGTTGTCGTTGTTGTTGGTCGACGGCTGACGTTTCGGCGATTTCGTCTTTCTCAGAGCATGGACATATCTTATATTAGAATACTTTAATTATTCGGTGGAAAAAGGCCAAAGTATTAATGAAGATCAAACTTTTAAATAGACGCCGTATTGAACAGAAAGTCACTCACCGTGATGTTACGTGTGGGGCTGGCCTACACGTAGTTCACGTGGGGTCGCGAGTAAGACACAGACCACTTTTTTGAGCACTTTTTAATGGCGTGACTTACTTCATTTGATATGAAGGATAGCTCAAAAGGATCTTATTTACTTCCGAAACATTACTTTGGGGAACTACCCTACGTTTTTGTCTAACCCGAGTGGCTTCTACTTCGTAGCCATTAGAAATGCTATATTTCGTGCCAGGTTTTGCGATTCCTTACTTCGCGATTCGAGAACGCGCAAAATTCTTGAGGAGTTTTGGATAAATTTCAAAAACCTAAGGATGAGCCGGAAAGGCGAATGCCTCACTATCACACGTGACCTGGCGCTCTATTTCAAAATGATATTTTGACCCCGAGGTGTGTCTTGCTCGCGACCCCACGTGAGCAACGCGTGGGCCGGTCCCACTCGTATCATCACGGTGAGTGGCCTTTCTGTTCAATACGGCGTCTACTTAAAAGTTTGACCTTCATTAATGCTTTAGCCTTTTTTCACCGAATAATTAAAGTATTCTAATATAAGATACGTCCAGGCTCTGAGGAAGGCGAAATCGCCGAAACGCCAGCCATTGACCAACACCAACAACAACGACAACGAAGTCCTATACCAACCTCGCGTCGGCTAAAGAAGATCGGTTTATAAGATCATATAAATAAATATATTAACAAAGTTTTTTTCCATGCCAACCACTTGCCCACGCACTTGCGAGAAGAATAGTCCAACAGTTTGCAAAAATCTCTGGAACTTTTTACTCCACCTTGGCCAATTTAACTATATTTCTTTTGTCACTTAATGTGAGCAGCGTTGAGGAAAACCTTTGCCCAGAGCGTTCGCAGATTTTTGCCGCAAGAAATAACGCTTATTGATCTGAAAGAGATTTTGGTAACTTACTTCTACGTCTCCTGTGATTCGAGAGGTCAAGATTCCTTGTACTGGTTGCGTCAAGGTGAGGCTTCGTATAGAAACGTGGTTTTGCTTCTCAGCGTAGGCGAACACACTGAAGGGATGAACTCCTTGTCGTATTTCGCAGTTTCAGACCCTGGAGAATTCTCTGACTGCTACGAGGGCGAAATATTATTGGTTCAGAGACAAAATGCTACTCTAAATTAATAACAGCTTTTCCAATTCCTTAAATTCACCAAGACTCTTAGCATAATCGATGAAGTATCCCTTTGCTGAACAAATAGTCATTCTGGTAGTATTGGATACTGATTTATATCACAGTATAGTTTAAAATTTCTGGAAAATTTACGGGAAGTTTCCGGACAACTTCTTCTTTAGGCAAGTAGTAATAGCAACTGAGGGAAAAATGTTAGAAAGTTAATATGTTAGCTTCTAAAGTTAAAAAAAGGCAAAATTTTAAAAAATAAGTTTCATTTGTCTTTTGTGGATTACAACCTTAATCTTGTAACACCCACAAAAGACAAGACTTTCTTCTTAAACTCACAGCTTGCTTTTTCTTACTCCATATTTTTACTTTTTTTGACTTCGTACTTTCACAAAGTTTTTCTTGACCCAACTGACATTACATTCACAGAATTCATCTGTCAAGATTTCGAATCTTCCCATCCAATTGAAGGTTGTGGGAAGTCATTACCAGCTTTCCTATGAGTTTTCTCTCAAGTTGTCGATGGGGGTCTGTTTCAACAAATTTCATCGAATCGTCGACGTTCTTTACGATCGTTTTCTCAATTCATACTTGTGGATCCAACGACAGATGACGAAGCTGTTCGAAATGTGTTCTTAACATTTGAAGCAGTTGGATGTGCCTATTTTTTTCAATTCGTTCAAATGAATAATCAATGAATAGTGGGAATATCACGTTGGCTACTGGTCGAAAAAGTTAGCCGAAAATGCATTTGAGATACAAATGGGACATAACTGTAAATGCATTGGACAACCAATGGGTATTGTGTCTTGTGTACTTCACTTACAAAAACCTTTCCTAGTGGACGTGTTCAGTGGGGATTTTTTCCTAAATCCGTGTTCATAGCTTGACGGAAGGAACTGTAGAATGTGTTGACGAGCAGAGCTGACCCAGCGGCAGTGCTGTCGTCGTTTCAGAAATCGTCGTCGAGTGCTGACGAACGTCTTCTACGTGATCGTGTTGCACTGCGCCGTGCTGGACGTTGCTCGTGGCCTGTGCCTTATCGTCTACGGCATGCCCTACTTCGCCAACTCCTTCTACAATATCAACCTCTCCATATCCACCAAGGTGACCCTGTTTCGAGTGAGTGCATCTTACTTCTCGTTCTTTACAAAAAAGACTAGCAAGGTATTGAAGCTTTAACTAAAGTTTCCTTCCTCTTCAGATGCATTTCTATTACTCGCTATTATGCATGCTATAAATTGAGTTCTTTCTCGCCGATTTGTCGCTTTATTATCACTAATTTCGAAAAATTATCTGCTCAGTTTCCCTCCTTTTGTGCCAAAAACTAATAATTCGTTAAACTGTGGTTTTCTCTGTTTTACATTGTCCTTTGAATAGATTAACACACAAACACATAGAGCAATTTAGTGAAAATCGGAAAAAAAAACTTGGCCTTTTAGCGCTGTGTTTGTCGCGTTTAGTCTTCACATAATCTCAGCTCTTTTCTTCTCTTTCAAATACGAATTTTTTGCTGCGAACGCTAAATGGCAAACTTATTAATTGATGAAGTTTAAGTGAACACTATCGCATTTATAAGAATCTTTGAGTTCGTACGGTTAGCAAAACAATTGCATTGAAAGGTTTGGAGTATTTATAATTTATTTCATTTCAATTCCCATCGTTTAAGGTGTACTGTAGTGTTTGGCAACGGTAGTAGATGTAGAGTAGTGTTGTAAAAATTTCCCAATCTTTCTAAACTTTATAAATAGGCTTTGATTGCAGGTATCTTTGTTATTCGATTTTTCCTTTGATTATCATCTTCTGGGGAGCAAGTGCTACTCTCAGCCGAGTATGCTTTCCCAAGTGAGAGTAGTAGGTGGTTTGATTGCTTCCATAGAAATGTCACCAAATTCGATGACAGCCTTCTCTGTTTTACCCTTTATTAAGTATGAACCACAATCTTTTGTACACTTCCGTGCATGAGTTCCGTTGATGAAGCGTCATCGACGAGAATTTATAACCATCAATGACGGAGAGTGTATGTCCTGTTCAAAATTTATTTGGAAACCTCAGTGGCTTCGTCTTACACACTGTCTACAAACTAACATTAGACCGGATTCACAGCGGGAGGTCATGCTCGTGTGCACCATTCTGCACCACTATAATACTTGAGGTCTACTGTAATGAACTAGAAAACTCTAGGACTGATCTTGATCCAACTGAACGTGAACCACAGAAAAATTACTTTGCATAAATGTTGTGGAAATTGAGTAGAAGCTAGGATCCGAAGGCTGCTCAACAAAAACTGAACAATCTGGCTCATTCGTGATGTAGCGCTTACCTAGTTTGTATTAATCACCACGTGTTTACATGGGTACGGCATTACCTTGCCGGGTCTAAAATCACTTCAAAACATAATGTCGGAAATGCAATCAGTTCTTTAAGTCTCGCACTATCCATCCTCGCGAGTTCAAATTGTGGAGTTGAAGAAATGAAGCTTTTCATGCCGACAAGAATGAAGAATGTTGCCTTGACGCTGGCTTGATTTCGAGTAGAGAATGGTTTTCTTGTTTTTCTATGCAATTGGCGATGGGTCATTCATTCTTCTTAAGGTGCAAAATTCGTACAGATTTATTAAATATTCGCAAATATCTCTACACACCGATGGAAGCAAATCCCTACACAAAAGCTTCATAAAAGATCTAATTTATTTTTCGGTGCGTCTAGAAATGGCTCTTCTCTAATAGTTTGTTTTATCAGGCTTTTCTCTTGGTTCCAAAGTATGTGCAAGCACAGTTATGATGCAAAGCGCTTGTATTATCTTTGATTCTACTTTTTATTTCGAAATTTTACCTGCCTATGACCCTAATTACCAAATAGGGTATGTAACCGAAACCACGTTTTTTTTCGTTGTGATGCTTTACAGTGCCACCTTCTTCGTTGTGAGCAATTACTAAACGCTATGAAATCCTTTCTTTTGTAATCTTCTGTTTATGCATGATGAGCGACCATCCGAAGTACTGAAAATGCGGATTAAAAGAGGTTAAGCTTGTTTTCAGGCGTCAACGTTCGCACTGGTGGCGCTGCGAATTTGCAACATGTTGACGATTTTCAACTTGCTCATTTTCACTGCTAACGAGTTTATAGTTATCCGCTATCCATTACACTATCGACGCTATATTCGACGGAAAGTTGTCATAGCCGCACTCAGCTGCTGGTAAACGAATTTTAAACCCCTTATATTTTTTTATTCTAAGAGTAAGAATGGCAAAAAGTAGAATTATTTCTAAGGATAGAATAATAAGACTTAAAGAATAAAAGTGATGAAGCACTTGGGATTTATCAATCCCTGAGGAATGCGCCATGCATTCATTGTTCATTAAGCATCGTAGGGATAATTGAATGCACCATAGAATGATTTGTGGGGACCTATCAATTATATGCCGGCATGTCTGGTACCAATTTCTCGACCTCGGAGAAATCGAGGACTTGCCTTACGTGTGCCATCGAGCTAGGAAGAAATGTGCATGTGAAGCACATCTAAGTGATCCGCTCCTATGAAGACGAAAATGCATTAATAATTAGCCTGACGATTTAGTCTGTTTCAATTATTTAACTTTTTCAACACACTACTCAGCTCGGCTCATACTAAGCTCTACAGTCTCTTTCTCTCTCTCGCTCTCTCTCTCTCCAAGCTCACATACTCAGGTTAACAAATTATAAACACTACTCGGTCTCGATATTTCTTATGTTCTTTCGCGAATGAAATTAGGGATATAGTAGATCCACAACATATTAATATTTGCGAACGATCGTAGTCAGACAGGTTAAATACGGAGCAACTCATAATCATTTACTTCCTTATTTTGCTGGATTTCTGACCTTCAATGGGATTCCACTTTTTCCCACAAATTATTGCTTGGTGAGAAGAATTTTAGTTGGAGAAAAGCTTGTTTTCAGTTGGATGATCAGCATAATTATGGGTCTCGGACTTCTCGTTCCTCCATCTTCACCGTATTTACGAAGTTCTGGTGTGTTTGTATTTATAGCAAATGTGTTCTTTGTGGATACATTGAGATATTTATAGAAGAAAAGCCATGGCATATTGACATCGCTACGCTCAGCATGTTGATGATATCGATCTTGTGTTTCCTTGTTCTTGCCGTTGTTCTGGTAGGCTTTACCAAACTCCTATTTCTATGAGTTTTGTGAACTTTCGTTTTTAACTTATTATATTAAAACCTCTGAAGGAAGCCCTAAAATGCCGTAGTCAATCCAATCCGTGTCCGTCGCATAGAACACCAGTCGAGAAGACGAGGAACATATCTGGTCGAAAATTTTACGATTAAATAACAGAAAAAAAGAGGAGAAAAAATAACTGTGGAAAGAAGTGCCAGCCAGACTTGAAGTCATACGAATGGTTATCAAGAGATATTTGAATATACCTGACCATCGACTATGTCTCCGTTCTTCCAGAAAGAATTTCTGGAAGAAAATTATTGCTAAAGACAAGAACTGTGTCAGCTATATCCTATGTCAACATTAATCATGTTGGCCAATAAGCTCCAAATAGACTGCTGCTGCCTTGTAAATCGAGACGAGATTTCCACGAGAATTGTTATGTACGCCGTCCTTAGATTTTTAAAGGAGTATTGCACGAACAACGCCTGTCAATGTTCACCACTGCTACCATGGTCGCTCATGCTGTATGCTGCACCCTCTCAGAAGTTAGCAAAACTGTTTAAAAAAAACGTCTAAATGCAGAAAACTTCTCATTTCACTTGACAGCATTTGTTTAACGTATAGTGAGGTTAATACAAAACATTTTTGGATATGGCTCGAAAGTTCTATCCACCAAACATACTTTGTTCTTTCATTTACCACTTATTCAGATTTCTGAATAATTATCTGTAAGAGGAGAATGTTCCCAACTAAGAACAGTTCAAAAATATCATGTTCCCTCATTTTCGTAGTCTAAATATTTTTGCTGGTAGACGGTACCAATGCCAGGTTCCAACACTGTCTTGGTATAAAAGTCGCATGGTGGTAAATCCCCCTCTAATCTACATGAGAAGCGACTGCGTGTGATGGTAAAGACCTGGGGCAGACTTTGGCCAGGCTGTCCTCGGGATTCCAGGAAACCACGATGGCTTAACCGGCAAATCTCCGAAAAGTGGTGATTATGCTGGGGCCCGCACAACTAGTGATGATGGGCCGTTCAAGTATCAGATATCAAGTAAATAGTTTTGCCGTTTAGGACAAATGGTCATTCATGAAAAATAATATGATTACTATCAATAACTATTGTATTCCGTTGTAATTAAACGGTTTATTCTGAAATAGTTTTCCCGTCCAATACCCATTCACAGTGGTGCTATTTTTCGAGCCTTTTCACTCTTGAGAGTATCATTACATTGACAAGAATGATTGACGAGGAACTGAAAATCGTCTGACTCTACAGGAGGTGTTCGCTCCAGGTAACGCTTGCGTTACCATAGAGCCTACTCTGTTGTTTGTTTTTGCTCTTTCGTCTTCACCTCATTCTGTCCAACTATATTTCGTACTCGTTGTATTACCTGGTCAAACTCGTTGATGCAGTATTTGTAAACTGTTAGCACTACAGAATTCGAATGCTCTTGTTTGACTAAACTATGCAGTGTCTCAAGCGACATTATTCGAATTCTCTTCAAAGGAGACGGAGAATAGTGACATAGGTGGAAGCATCAATCTGCATCTCGACTCTATAGCTATGAGGGCACTATTGAGCCGAACGGATCAGCACGGAGATTTGGGTTCTACACATGGGTTTTTACTTTCTTTGAAATCACGTCCAAAATATGCCGCTTGTGACTTTTGTTAAATTGTTCCTTAACTTCGTTTCCCACATTCACTGTGTGGCTTCGATCTGCTCTAAAACAAGCAGTGAACTTCTCAAGAAATTCCTTCCCTTTCAGTCCTCCCAATTCGCCGATCGCTCTGTACACCTTTTTCCTCTGCTACTTTCGAAATGATAAAATTTCGTCGGCAAAACGAAAACTTTTAATGATTTTCCATCAGTTAGTACTTCCTTTTCTTTTTAACCCAATCAACTTCGTTATCTTCTACATCAACGTGACACTCAACCTCAGCAATGTAGTAGAACCTTTTGAACACTTTCTTCTAAATTGCCAATGAACGAGCAATTCAGGAACTGTTCCTGTAGAGTGGTTGGTCTGCTTTAAGATGGATTAATTTATTGACAGACGAGCGTGGGTAAAAAGATAGTCCAATGTTTTTCATCAATAAGCAGACACGAGGTTGTTAATATAGAATTTATTAGAACACAATTGCTGATGTTTCGGCGGTTTCGCCTTCTTCAGAGCCTGGAAAGGTCAAATTGAGATGTGATCTACTCAGCCAAACACTTTCACAACCCTAGCAGATAAAACTTGATAAATCGATTTTCATTCGCATAAGAAACAGCTTCATTCAAACACCTACCGTTTATTTGTTGTAAGTATTTAAGTTAGTTGGTGGATAGCCGCCGCACAGA